GGCTGGATGGGCTGGATGGGCTGGAGAAGTCCAGGAAGAGAATCCTTGCTGCTTTTCTTCTCCAGGTGCGAGTGGACTCAGTGTAGTAGGTAGAGGATGGCGTCCTCCACTCCTACACCTGGCTGATGGTGCAGACTGCAGGTGGTCCAGGGTGTGTTATACTTGAGGTCTGAGGAGGTTGAGGAAGATCTGCTACATAATCTTCATCAGATGTGAAGTGAGTGCCACAGGATGGAAATCATTCAGCTCACTGAGCCGATACTTTTTAGGAGCCGCTGTGATGCAGGATGTCTTCCATAGGGTAGGCTCTCTCCCTAGCAGCAGTGAGGTTGAACACCCGTTGTAATGGTTTCCCCGGTTCAGTAACGTTGGTTTTCACTAGCTGTGGAAATACCTTATGCGGGCCTGCTGCTTTCCTGGGTGGAAGTCTGACCTGGTCTGTGGTGATGTGAGGTAGGGAAGGTGTGGAGGTGGGGGGGCTTCAGGAGCTGAGTTGGTTGGCGGTGCTGTGATTGCTAAGGTGGGGGGCAGGTGGAGGCTGGGGGTCGAGGTGCTGTTTCTTGTGCGGAGGTGAATTGTTGGGTGAAGGGGAGGTGGCTCTAGCAGTCGTGTAGGGGTCATAGGCTGGTCCAACCTGTTGAAGAACTTGTTTGGGTCACCTGCCCTCTCTGTTAGAACCATAAATACAAAATATTGAAGTTATTTGCATTATGGTTTATCTTTTGTTTTTGTCATGTTCAGTGAAGGGACTGATATTTGTTTAGGTCATTTTATTGAGAGCTTTGGTTTTATCTTGAAAGTCTCACTTTTCTGTAAAACACTCCAGACTAACTGTTTAGACCTGGAGTTTAGACCACAGTTTTTGACCGTGTAAATTGTGTAAGAATTGGAAGAAGAAAAAACAGAATTGTAATTTCTTTAACATTTTTTATAGATAAAGATTTTAGGTTAAAATTACACAGTTTCACATGTCCTTTACTTTTAGTGTCTTTGTATTGTGGCCTGTAATGGTCCACACACCTTCACAGACACCTCACGTTATTCTCCCTCAGAATCTGCTCCACCTTTCTCTTTAGATGTCTTTGGCTTTCCTCACAGTGTTTTACCTCCTGCTGCCTTCATGGCCTCCTTGTCTCTGCTCCTGAAGGCAGCCTTCTTCCTGTTTAGGACAGATTTGACTTCCCTTGCTACCCAAGGCCTGTTATTCAGGTAGTAGCAGACTGTCTGACAGTCGGGACCCCTTTAGTGCAGAAGTTCAGGTAGTCCGTCAGACAGTGTGTTATCCCCTCTATGACCTCACCATGCGGTTCAATCAGCTCATCTCAGTGTGAGGTATAAAAGCAGTTCCTCAGGGACTTTCCATCTCAGGGAACCACCTCCTGATGGTGCAGGTCGTAACCGGCTGCTTCTGAACCAGAGGGGTGTCCTTTCCCTGAAGGTGAACCAGGTTGTGGTCAGACTCGCCCAGTAGGGGGAGGGGTGAGGCTCTATATGCATCACTAACATTAGTATACAAGAGGTTGATTGTCCAGTTGTTTCTTGTTGGACAGTGAACAGTCTGATGGAAAACGGGCAAAGCAGAGTCCAAGGTTGCATGGTTAAAGTCACCTACAGTTATAAATTATTATAACTGCATGTTGAGTCTGAGTCCTTAGCCTGGCTGTGATAGCATGTTTCTCCTCACAGGCAGCGGCTGCCTCCACTCTGGAGGGAATGTAAACACGGATGGCGATCATAAGACAGAATTCCGTCGGCAGATGGTCACAAGCCAACGGCTAACAGCTCAAGGTCCCGGCAGCATAACAGTCTTTACTGAGATATGTCCTGGGTTACACCAGCGGTTGTTCACAAACATGATCAGGCCCCCACCTTTCCATTTCCCGCTGGCCTTAGTGTGTCTGTCAGCTCTCACCACAGTGAATCCCAGCAGGTCCACATTAGCATCCAGTACAAGGTGCTTTAGCCATGTCTCAGTGAAGATAAACAGGCTGCTCCTTCTATAAAACCGCTGGTTGTTGAGTGCGGTCAGCTCATCAGTCTTGTGGGCCAGCAAGTTCACATTCCCCATGATTATGGAGTGGATTGATGGTTTGTAGGTCCGCTAGCCTAGCCTTAAGCTTAGCATTGCAACCCATCTATTTCCTCCTCAGCTCCTCCAGCATGGCGTTAACCAGCATGTCCCATTGTTCTCAGCACCACCAGTTTCTCTGATGAGTACATAAGAAAACCAGCTCTATGTTGCATGTTCAATAAAAAGATAAAATCATCCCACAGTTGGAAAGCTGTAGAATAAATTAGAAGGTACAATAGATCTGAAAAAAGTTTTTAAAAAAAGCGAACAAAGAGTAGAGACTAGAGAGCTACTGGAGAGGCTGCCACCTCCTACAACGCTCGAAACCCTTTAGCTGCTTTCCCTGCCTCCTTTTTCACATGGAAAATAATAGGAAGTACTCTACTTTTTCTAGATGTTTGTTAATTTTCCAAGTTGCTCATAAACATTCTCAGAAAACAAATATTTTTTATATATATATAAAATATGAAGCTGACTAATAGCTCCTCCTTTATTAAACTGGTACAGTATGTTTTTAAATTTGTGGCACAATATTGGACAAAACATAGATTTATCATCACAAAGCATCAGAAGGACAAGATTTATGGACAAACAGTAAACATTATGTTTTGTTTATATAAAGAGTCTTTGTAATGTTTTTTGATGTTTGCATTCATATAAATATAGGTTTGATTGACTTGTGGTATACGTCTATTTTGAATTTATAGCGCCCCCTGGAGCCGCCACTGGATTTGGTACATGTTTTGTGTGAAATGAGGCAATATTTTTCCCCAAAACTTGTAGTTTTTAAATGTATTTGTATTAATCATTTAAGAACTTCACAGCAAGAAGTGAAAAGAATCAATAAACAAAATAATAAAAATATCATGAGCTTTTTCCAGCCACTAAAATTCTGAGAAACTTGTTATTGTTTAAGCTGTCCTCCAGGGGGCACTGTTGGTTCCCAAATGGTTGAGTTTGTATATTATTGAAACATGAATTTACTGAAACTAACATGATTCATATTCTCTACAACAGCAACCATCTCAAATTACTGATAAAAACCAAATATAAAAAACTAACCTGAAAAAAATGGATGGATAAAAATAAATGAACAGTGAACTTTAGTAAGACCAATCCATTAATATTTGGTAATTATAAAACCAATCTGACCTAGGCTGTTGAAATTGAAAATGTAAAGGAGAATACATTTTAGCTGTTTAATAGACAATTCATCATTAAAAAGCCAAAGGGGAAAAAAAAACTCCATTTACTCCAGAAAAGATAGTTTAGTCCAAGTTAATTTATCTGACCACACAGGCAGCAGAAGGTACCTCGCCATCTTGAGTTAATTAAACAAAAAAAGTGACACTGGAGATTGAAAATAAATTATAAGGACTTGTTTCTTTATTATTCTTTTATCTTTTTTATTGAAATGAAGAGAAGCGGTGGTACTTGTTAACATCCTTAGTAGGAATAAAAAGGGTGGAATAAAACACGTTTTCTCCTTTCCCAGCAAAATAACCTGGTATATGTTAATTTGCATGGACTCTACTTTGGTTTGCACTCAATGTTTTCTGCTTGCAATACATCTAGGTGATAATGATGATGACAGAGCAGGCAGGTTTCTCACTCCATAAACCTCACCAGAGCACATATGGGTGAGAAGAACAGGAAAAGATGGAAAACCAATGGAAAATTTTACCATCACAACATTTTTTAGGAGTTGCTGCTCATCCATCCTACTCCCTGGCAGTTCTTCTTTCAGTAGTTCTTTCACTTATATTTGAGATCACAATCTGCATACTTTCTTTTCTCCTGTTTTACTTCCTCACTCAGTTCTGTTGCATCCAAGTCTGCCACCTGACCAGGTCCAGAGATCTCCCCTCTGGTAGTTCTCGGTAGATGTGCTTGGGGCCCCGATCAAACTCCGCCAGTAACTTCAGATTCGGTTCACAATACAGCATCCATTTACTGTAAGAGTGTTCTTACTTCTGGACAATATAACTTAAGTACAAGTTAAAAATATTTTGCATCACAACCCCCCTTAGAAGTGCAATTATCAAAAGAATGATTCATCAATGGTCTTGCATCTTTCTGTCCGTGTTCTTTGCCACTATGTAACACTTATTTGAGCTGACAGGAAAGAAGGTTGTGCATTGACCAAAAAGGTCGGAACACTGCCCTAAAGTCACCCCGCTACCTGCCGTGCAGTGTAGAAGAAGTGGCCGCCCATATGTCAGGTACAGCACAGTTCTCAGTGCTCGATGCAATGAGCTCATTCTGGCAGATACAGCTTGATCACAAGTCACCCATGATCACCACTCTCAGCACACCCTGTGGCCCTACAGATTCCTCTGCATGCCATTTGCCATAAGTTCAGCTAGTGGGTATTTTCAAAGCTCAAAGGAGTGGCTGTTTGCAGGATATCTGTTTGCCATCATAGTGGATGTCATCATCATTGGGGGTTGTGATGCTGCAGAGCATGTAGCCAATCTAAAAAGGTGCTTGACTAAACACTGGGGATTGCACTCAGACTAAACCCTCTCAGGTGCAAGTTTCGCCTTGCCAGTTCTGCTATTGTGGGTCCTGTACTCAGAAAATAATGGGCCGAAGGCTGATCCTGCAAAGATTAGAACCAATCACCAAAGTGGCGGTCCCTGAGGATGTTCCTGCCATACAGCCCTCAGGACGGAACATTTAACCCAAAGCTCAGTGCGCTAGCTGTGCCTTATGCTCAGGTTGAGAAGGCTGCTGGCAGTAGTAGTATTTGCACATAATTCAGAGACTTTATCTATGGAAAACAATGGCCATCGAAGCTGACCACCAACCTCTCGTTACAATCTGAAAAAAAAAAACAATCTTAAAGAAGCCAATCCAAACACCTCCCACATGACTGCAACGAATGCTGCTGCAGTTACAAGCCTACGACATTACACTGGGCTGCAGGAGCGGCAAGCACATGCATCTCGCAGACACCCGTTAGGTCCCCAGACTTCTGTGCATTGGCTCAATGACACATTTTAGGCAATGTCTCTCAGCTACGGTTCATGTAAGGCTAAAGGAGCTACAAGCCCACACAGCACAAGTCCTTCCTTCAGCTATAGAGACATGCTGACAATGAAGGATGCATTATTGTTAAAGGATACAGAACAGTGAATTGAGAAATCTTCCTGGATGGGAAGCAAAATGTCTTAAGACTTGGAAAAAAACCTCCATTGGATTGTTTTTTAACTTTTACTAACCTTTTTTGGAGACACACAACTGTCTTTCCACCCGCCCTGCAGCGAGTCTATCAGTGCAGGGCGAGGAAGGCGGTCTATTGGCCAACAATGAATAGAAACATAACAGAGTAACTGCTGTCATGCTCAGTCAACAGTAGCACCCCGGCACACCAACATGTGGCAACAAGACTTGCCACAGCCACACCCAGTCCCAGTTTTGCTCTGGTCCACAGTTGCTCCCAAGATGCTTGAGTGGCATGGACAGCAGTAGATGGTGTTTTTGGACTCATATTCAGGGTGGTTTGTAATCGATCTACGTTGCAAAGCATCTCAAAAAGCTGTGATCACAAAGCTCAACCGGCATTTCTCTGTGACAATGCCAGATATCACGCAAGTCAACACTTCAAGGAATTGGTTGAGCAGTGGGACTTTGTTCATGTCAGCAGCCCTGATTATCCACTGGCTGAAGGGCTGTTAAATGTGAGAAACATCCCGTTACAAAACACTAGGCTCACCTGCAGAGCTACTGTGTGTTGGTATATAAATAAAGCTTTGGTGGATTTAAAGTGCAGCACAACTTGTTCTCACACATGTCAACACAAAGCATTTGACCAGCTGCACCTAGATTAGCCTGTGAGGCAGCAGATCCTCAGTTGTTCATTCAAACATCTTTGTTTACAGAACTGATGGTGATGCAAATGAATGAGTTAGTTACCAGAACCCTCTTAGGGCTTTCTGAGCCTCTGATGATTATCCGGAGATCTCTAATCTAACTTGGACGCTAATTCTGTGAGAGAGCTTCATGTGTTCAGATCAGCTCTTTATGGATCTGTGTGCAACTCACGCTGGGAAGTAGTTGCAGACGAGGAAGGAGGCGTTCTTCCAGTTCAGTCCGCTCATCGTATTGCAGAGGTGGAAACCGCAGCCGACCGTGTGGCTGTCAGCCCAAACCATCTGGAACACACACACACAGTTAGACAAACACAATGAGCTCCATGTTCAGTTAGCACAGGCGTCTGCACTCGGTGTGTGACCTGGGTGTAGTGTCCACACATCTGGTCTTCTTCGCAGCTGTTGTTCTGGTAGTCATAATTCAGGTGTTCTGCACAAAGAGAATCAATTAAAGTACAGAAATTCTGGTTCCAGGAACAAAAAAACTGACTGGTTTTACAATGTTGTTGCCTGGTTCAGAAGAAAACAGACCCTGAAATAAGGGTGTGTAGATAATGACTCACCCAGGAACCATTTCTCCAGAGCTGATGGGAGGTCCAGAGGCCCGGTGCCAGCAAACAGATTTTCTCCTATATCTTCCAGGTCTGGGTTGTGATTCCAGATGCATTTAGCAGCGTAGCCCTCTGCAAGCACCTTCAGGTTTTGATCCCATTTCTGCACAGATGGTTTGCCACTGTCAGAATAAAGAAGACGAAACACCCAGAAGGTCCAAGAACTTCTAATATCTGACTTATAATCCATAATTCAGAACAAGATTCAATTCTATTCAGTTTTTTAAAAAGCACCAATTCACATCATGTCATCTCAAGGTACTTTACAGTTCACCAGATCATCCAGTCAGATTGATTCAAAGTTTTCTATCCAAGGAAAACCAGCTGATTGCATCGACTCATTGACTCTTCAGCAATCCCTCACACTAAGCATGCTTGTAGCGACAGTGGAGAGGAAAGACTCCCTTTTACAGAAAGAATAATTTAGTACA